AACTGCAGGGTTTGATTCCAGAGACAGTGATTGACAGGTCCTTCTTGTGGATGCCTTCCCTGCTAGCCCCGCCCACCAGTGACAGAACCCTTCTACCTTGTGCACTTGGGATGTGTTGGGGGGGGGGGGGGGAGGGTGACAGTCCTATATTTGCTGCTGTTCCTTCTTTCTCCTTCTCTTTCTCCTCCTCCTTACTCTGGCCCTGGGTCTCAAACTCAGGGTTTGTTCACTACTCTGAGTCACAGCTCTACTTCCAGCTGATTAATTGGAGGTAGGAGTCTCACAGACTTTGCTGCTGGCTTTGAACCTCAATGCTCAAATCTCATCCTCCTGAGTAGCTAGGATGACAGGTGTGAGCCGCCTGCACCTGCCTCAGTATTTGCTTCTTGTTCAACCACCTGGCATGCAACTTTTGGGGGGTTTACATCACTCCCCAAGGCAAACCTATGTGGGTGGGAGACATGGGGGGGCTGGTGAAGGAGCTGCTCAAGTCTGAGCTTCAGCCACCCCTCCCCCCGAACCACCACGGCTGTCTCCCCTGCTCCCCCACCCCAGGCTGCAGAGGTGACCTTGGAGCCCACACTTCCTGCCGTCCCCCTCCACACATGGGGCACCCACTGGCTTGGGTGCCGTCCTGATCCACCGGAAGGTCTTGGTGGATGTGGGCTCTCTCCACTCCTGACTGCTCTGAGAGTTTCAGGGGGGCCCAGGCCACTCAGTTCCTTCCCAGGAACCTCATCCTGAAGATGCACACTTCGGAAGAGGTGGTGTGGAGTGCTTTTCCCACTGTTCATGTTGACCATCGAAGTTAGAAGCCCCCCGCCCCCCGAAATAGAGCAGATTTCTGTATCCACATCAGGCGGGGAAGCAGCTGTCTGTGACCAGCACACTGGGATGAGGAGGAGTGGAGCCCCCTGGTCCAAGTCCCTGCAGACAGGCCCTGCAGCCCAGGGTGGGTACCCATTCATTCTCTTCTTGATGTCTGTGTCTTTTCAGGGACACTCCCTTGCCGTCTGTGCAGATCGAGAGGGAATACTTCCGTCTCATCTCAGGCCCAGTGACGAATGAACAACAGGGGCAGGGCACTGGGGAGTCGGTGGCTGTGTGTGCCCCATCGCACACACCCACTCTGAGCTGGCCTAGCCGAGGCTAGGGAGTAAGACAGTCCTGTCTGTACCAAGTACTGCCGTGACCTTGGGCACGTCGCTCAGCGCTTCTCGTTAGGACAGGACTCCGGATCTCAGCCAGCACGAAAGGCTCAGATGAGACTCAAGTAGGGAAAGCATTCCATGGGACGCCTGGCTCACAGAGGGCCCACCCCCTAAGCAAGGAACCATTTCCTACCCAGCTGCAAGCCCACACCCAGGACCACATTTCCACTGGCCGGCAAAGTGCTCTCTGCACACAATTCATTCATAAATGAATGAATTCAAATGGCCTGGGGGTGGGGCAAACAGGCCAGCCAGGCTGCTGGCTGCCCAGGCTAAGTTCCAGGATCCCCCAGGAAACTCAGGTGACAGGACTTAGCATCTTCCCCTGTGGTGGCTTTTGCCTTTGAGATCCTGGACTGCAGGTGCTGGCTCAGGTCAGCTCAGAAACCTGAGCCAGGACCCGCAGTTCTAGCATCCTCCCCTCCCCGCCCTCTTTGTAACTGGCTAGCTGAGGGGGAGGGGTGGGGTGGCACGTGATCTGAAGAACCAGAGTAGCCCTGCTGCTCTATCCCTGCCCGAGGAATGTCCAGCCACCACAGAGAAAACACTGGAGGGAGGAGGGGCCTGGGAACAAGGCCAGGAGGGGGGCTTCTGACACTACCCAGGAGTTCAAAGACAGACAAGGTCTGTGAAAAGAGCCTCCCAAATCCACCCTGCAGGCTGAATGAGGGCTGCAGAGAGTGGCTCCTGTGACACCTGGCGGCTGCATAATCCAGCTTTGAGGACGGAAGGGAGCTGGCCAACAGATACCCTGAGGAGGGATCCTGGCTGAGGGAGGAGGGGGGAAGAGGCCTGCACCCCATAGGCCCGGCAGCTCTGCCTTGTGACCAACCCCTTTGTTCAAGAGATTGGGTAGGGGGTGTGTGATGGGGAGGTATGAGATCAGTTCACTCTAAAAGGATTCTCCTGCTTCAAAAAAAGAAAATTACAAGTATCCAGAAATGCCAAGGGAAGGGTTCCAGAGTTTGCTCCCATTCTGACACTCTCTGCACTTAACACCCCTGAAGGATGGCCAGGAAACACTCCTGTTGGCACAGGGGTCTGGGGCGGGTCAGAGGTGGGGGGGGGCTATGAAAGGCCCTGGGGTGGGGTGGCCTGTCCCAGGTCAGCAATGGAGCTGTGCCTGAGAAGAACCCCTGAAGTGTCCCAGGGGAGGGGAAAGGGTGTGTGTGGGGGGAGAGGCCCTCACACCTGCTGGGGGGGGTCCCACCCTTCACAACCTCTACCCCACCCACCTGCAGACACAGCTGCTAAGCCAGAACTAGTGGGGCCCAGAAGTCCTGGCTGAGCCCTTTAGCTCTCTCAGAGCCCTCCCATGGCTCTGGCTGTTCAGACATTCTCCTGGGGGATGGAAGAAGCAAGTTCAAGAATTGCCCCTCCATTCTCCCCTCCCCCCCAGGCTCAAGAGCAAGACTCCCACTGGGGCTTAAGAAGGTGACAAGAGCTCCAAGGGACTCTCCTGTTGCCGGGCTAGATCAGGGTGGGGTCCCCCCCAGGGAGCCTCTGGTACCAGGGAGTGGGGAGACAGGAACGCTGGGTGCAAAAGGCTCCTTCCTCCAGCCAACCCATTCTCCCAAGTCCAGACCCTGTGCAGGGCTCTGAGACCCGGGAGCAGAACAGGCCAGGGTGCCCAGGCCTGGCCCTCACTAGCCCAACAGTGGCTGCCACCACCCCGTCTGGCTCAGCAGGATCCTGGGTGGCACAACGTGTCCCTCCATCCCTCTGCAGCAGCCCCAGCTCTGGGCCAGTGGCTCTTTAAAGACCGTGGTGTCCGGGTGCACGGCTCTTGGCCACTTCCAGGAAGGGCACCCTCCTCCCGTTCAGCCCATCCTGTGTCTGATGCAGACCCTTCCTGGTGACCCCACTGCTGGAAGAGGAAGAGGGACCCCGCCCTGGTACTCCAGCGGGAGTTCCCCGGGACCTCCCCCGGTGCTCAGCAAGCCAAGTTTCCCATCAGAAGCGCTCTTCAACCTGAGCTGGGAGCTGGGACTCATGGGGATGGGGGGGGGGGGATGTGGGAGGGTGTCCCCACTGGACAGGCTCACCCCTGAGTCCCTGCCACCCACCCCCCAAATCCTGCAGAGGCAGAAGATGGAACCCAGGCCCAGGGGCAGGGAGAGAATGCTCCCGGGTTCAGGGAACGCGCCCAAGGTGGGGTTCAGACAGAGCAAGTAGGGGGTCCCCACTTAGCTTTCCTCGTGGTTGCCACCACCTGCCCCTACGGGGTCTTGTATTTCTGCTCTACGCAATGGGGGAGGGGGACTCCCCTCTTGTCCCTGACCCCCAATCTCGCTCCCCGCAGTGTCCAGGTGAGGGCTCCAGTGCACCTCTACCAAGCCCGGGCCCTGTCAGCAGCAGCGCTGCAGCCCAGTCTCCCCTCCTCCTGCAAGCCTTCCATCTAGAGCATCCAAAGGGGGAGCCCTCACCCCAAAGTTAAGGGGAAGATTTGGATCCACTCTGGAAAGTACCTTGCTTCCTGGACAAGGTTTGCATTCCTCCTGGGCCTGCCAGCCCCTCCCCCTCCGGCTCCAGTTCTGCAGGGTGGGGGGCGGAGTGGGTGGGGTTATTTGGGGGACACCCCTCCCTGGCAGGCGCACCCCAGGAGGACCAGAACCCTGACACTGCCCCTCCAGCGCCCCACCCGCCCCACGCGGCCCTGCTGGTGACCGCCGATACTTTTTTGACATCTCTTGCCCCCACTCTTCGGGTGGCACCCCAGAAGGGCTGGCTCACGGTGCGGATGGGGATTCCAGGCGCGGACCCCTCACCTTCCGGATCCCTGCCCCCTGCCCCGACCAGGCTCTGCGTGGGAGCCCCTTCCCCCTGGGGAGATGGAGCTCGGGTCACGGTTCGTTCAGGTGTCGCCAGGTTGGGCTCTGCCACCCGCCAGGCGGCAGCGCCGGGCAGCCCGGAGCCAGAGCCTCGGAGCGGCGGCTGGCCCCAGCTCGCTGGCTCTGGGCGATCCGATCGGCCCGGAGCTTCCGCCAGCTCGAGCCGGCTCAGCCTGGCCCGGGGGCGGGGGACCGGAGGACCGGGGGACCGGGGGACCAGGGACCGGGCCGGACGGACACACAAGCATGCGGGGATGGGGGGGGGGGGGTTGGCTGCTCTTCCCCTTCCCCGAGCCCCAAGTGCACGCGATCTTCTGTGGCTCCCCGCAGCCCTGCGCCTCCACACATGCCTGCTCAAGTGGATAGAGCCACGGCCGCCCCGAACCCCCCACCCCCGACCCCGGATCCGCGGCCATCGCGGTCAGCGCCCCCGGAGCGCAGCGCGGCCCCCTCGGGGCGCGCGTGGAGCGCCGCACTCGCCCCTCCCCGTCCCACGCGCGCTGGCGCCGACGCGGCCCCCCGCGCGCCGCGCGCCCGCCACCCACCCCACCCCGCGCTCACACTTTCTCGCACACCCCTCCCCGTGAAACGGATCCCGCACCCCTCAGACGCTCGCGCGCTCACACTCGCATCTGCCCGCACTCCGCGCCCTCTCCACACGCAGCTCCTTCCCGGACACCCTCGCCCACGGACGCAACAAAGACACACACGCTCGTGCGCACACACGCGCGCACGCGCGCACACACACACACTCACACACGCGCGCGCTGGCACGGACCCACGAGCGCTTCTCCGAAAGCGCCCTCCGAGTCCCCGGCTCGCGCCCCGCCTGCCCGGGACGGCGCTCGGACCCCCGGGCATCTCGGAGCAACCCTGCCCGCCCACCCCGTCCCCGATCGGACCGCGCCCTCCCCGGGCCCGGCTCCCCCCGGCCCCCCTCCGTCCCCCGCGCACTCACCGCGCGCCAGGTCGAGGATCGCGGCGAGCAGCAGGCAGGCGCCGCGGCGGAGGCTCGGGGCGGCTCGCATGGTGCCCGGGCGCTGGCGGCGGCGCGGGGCCCCTCTCCATGGGCTCAGGCGCCGGCCGAGGCGGTGGCGGGCAGCGCGGGGCGCCGCGGGGGCGCCCCCATGCCGCCGCGGCCGGGCTCCGCCGGGCTCGGGCTCCGCGGGGCGCTCGGGGCTGGTCCTCGGAGCGCGCCGCGCCTCCTCCCGGTTCCTCGCCCGTCCGTCCGCTGCGCGCGGAGCCGCCGCGGCCCCGAGTGCGAGCGGCGGAGTTTGGAGCCGAACCGCGCGCTGCTGCGCTCTCTCCGCCTGGCGTTCGTTCGCCTCTGCCGGCGGCGCGAGCGCCCCCTCCCCGCGCCCTCCCTCCGCCCCTCCCCCGCCCCCCCCCCCCCCGCCTCGGCCCTCCCCTCGCCGCGCTCCCGCCGTATTATACTGACTTTTCTTTAATCCTTTCTGGGCTGTTCGGCTCTCGCTCGCTAAGCCGATTTATTGCAGAGGAGAGCTCCTCGTCCCCTCCTCGGTCCTCCCCTCCTCCGTCCCCCCTCCCCTGTCCTCCCCTTCTCTCCCCTCCTCTATCCTTTCCTCCCCTGTCCTCCCCTGCCCCGTCCTTTCCTCCCCTGCCCCCCCATGTCTCCTCCTCCCCCCGAGTTCATCCCCCTCCCCTTCCTCCCCTTCTCTTTCCCCCTCCCCTCTGTAGTCTCCCTCCCCTGCCCCATCCTCCCCACCCCTGCCCTGTCCTCGCCTCCTCCCCCCTCCCCCTGGTCTCCTCCCCCATCCAAGTTCTCCCCTCTCACTCACATCTCCACTCTCTTCCATTTTTAACCTTCCCCAGGTAGCCATTCATCCCTCCGCGCTCCCCCCCCCCCCACCTGATGGAAAGAGGCCTTCCTCCCTGGGGATCAGCCCTGAGGTCCTTGGAGCAGGCAGGGCCAGCCGGACATGGCTCCCAAGGGTTGGGGGGGGGGGGGTCTTGCTGCCAATGATTGTCTAGGATGGGAAGGAGAAAGGGGGCTTCAGTGATCTGGAACTTTTCCAAATTACCGCTGCTCTCCCCCTCAGGGAGGGTAGCTGGGAAATGAAGTGTGACCCCCTCCCCCACAGCCACACCCGCATGCCATCCAGCATCAAGTCTCACCTTTCCCTAGGGCCTGGCACCTCTGCTGCCCTGGGGAGCTGGCACTGGCACAGTGCCCACCCACAGGCTGGGGAGGCACACCTGAGCTGCTGGCCCACGGGGACCCCCAGGATAAAGAGGTGAGCTAACCCTGGGGACAGATTGAGGGCGCAGCATGGAACACTCAACCTGGCAGGGATCCGTAGCTGCATCAGAGAGACTCAGAGGGCCAGCACTGTCAGGGGCAGATTTGGGCACAGAAGCAGGGTGCCCTGAGCAGGTGCTTTTGTATGGCTTGTGTGTGAAGTCCTAGGTCCCCTAGCTGTGGCTGGTGGCTCTGTTGGGGCGTCACTCTGCTTAGCTGGGCCATGGGTACAGCGCACATCTCCGAAGCCCTTGGCCTGGGGAAAGAAGGAGCTAGGTAGAGGATGGGCAGGGGGTGGTTGCCGGGCTGCTTCTTGGTGAGCCTCCCCGGGCAGTGAGCTGCTCCTCTCCGCGCCCTCCTGAGCCTCCAGCCAGGCCTTCCCAGGCAGCCCCTGCTTCTCAGCCCATTCCCCGCCCCTGGGAAAGGAGCGATTTGCATTTGTGAAGATCTGAAAGCATACATTCACCTGACAGGCTTTAGAATGATCCTCTCAGTAAAATAATAATAATGATCGTAATAAACCCTTATAAATAGGTGTTTGATTACAGTTTGTCCCTACGTGGGTATTTTTTTTTTTTTTGAATCAGACTAATTGGTTGCCAGCCTGATTGGGCTGGATATGGCTTGAACACTGAAGTCTTAAGCCTTTCTCCCCTCTCTGACTGGCTCCTTCTCCCCTGCTCCCCTCCACCTTCCCCTCCTGCAGGCTGCCAGGGTGAGCTGTAGGTCACCTTTCCCCTCTCTCTTCTCCAGATTGACCCAGCCATGCCATTGGGGCCCTGGGTGGCTGCCTGCCTCCTCCGGCCCCTCCCACTCCTGACTTCCGGCTCTGGGAAAAGCACCATCTGAGTTGTCTTTCAACAACCCCTGTGTGCAAAACATGGTTCTTTCTAACCAGCAGCACATAGTAGGACCTCACTGACTATCTGTTGGGTGGATGGTTGAGTCAACTGACAAAAGTAGGTCACTATGCCTTATCTCCTGCGTGGTTCAGCTTCTAGCACAAGGGTGGCATGTGTGGCAGATGCCAGCAGGCAGTGAACCTGGGCTGTGTTTCCATCCAGGCCCACCAGAGACAAGGCACCAGGGCCAGGGTTTTCCAGATGAGCTGGGAAAGCCACCTGCATGACTGTTACCATATGATAATAATTGGTAATAGCAACATGGTTGCCCCGTAAGCCCTCCTGGACACCCCCTCAAGTTCCTGCTTGCTAAAGCACAGCTTTTTCTTTTTGCTCCAGAGAAAGTCATCGCCAAAGCACAGAAAGGCTGCTATCAGAGGACCCAGGGTGACTTTAGCCAAAGGAAAAGTCACCCAGGACAACAGTGGGCTTTTCGTTTGCCTAACGTCCCTTGGTGTCTGTTTCTTAATGGATTAGTTGCCAGAGGCAGGACTTCCATTTTGCTCTCCTGGCACGCAGTCCCATGAGTCACAGGGACACGCCTCTTCCTGGGCACGCGACCAAAGGGATCCCTGGGCCTTGGGAGCCAGGGACAGAGAGCCCTGCTCCAGCTGCCCCCAGCCTCCCTCTGTCCAGGGTGCTGGACCAGGATCTGCCCACAGAGGGTGCTAGCGTACAAAGCAGGCTTCTCCCCCGGCTCCCGGGACCAAGCCCCTCCCCAGAGGTCATAGGGGAGCTGCATGGCCCTCCCTCCAGCCTTTCTCTTTTTTTCTTTTCTTTTTTCCAGGAGAGGGAAAGGATGCAGAATTTTGTTTCCTCTTCGAACCTGGCTTTTGAGAAACTAGGAGGTACAGATCTGGGGAAGGACCTTCTTCCCTCCTCCGTGCCCCCCCCCACCTCCACCACCACCAAATGAAGTGTGAGAATATAAAGAGAATTATGTACACTGGTGAAGTGCTTCTGTCTGCCCACCTCTGTGAGGAGCGGTGTGTGACTGGGTGAGCAGGCCCCAGCACAGTTCCTACCTTACAGACCAGAGAGCTGAAGCACAGAGAGGTTAAGCCACTTGCCCTGCCCAGCACAGCCGTGCCAGATTTGAACGCAGGAGGAGCTCTAGACCTGCAGCTCTTAAGTACCTTTCTGGGTAGTGTAGGCACTGGTGATCTGGGTCTACCATGCAGCACAGGCTCTCTGGAGCCAGGGTGTGGATAGGAAAACTGTCCTGAGTTTAGAGTAGTCAGCCACTGGCCCCATTTAGTCCTCATCAAACTCCTTTAGCAGCTGTCCATGTGTGTGCATGTGCGTGTGTGTGCGTGTACATGTGCATATACTTTTTTTTTTTACAGAGAAGGGAACTGAGTCACAGAGATGGGAAGCGCATGGCCCAAGGTGCCAGGACAGAGGAGTACTGGATCCTGAGGGCAGGAGAGGAGTCAGGAATCAGGTCTTCCTGACAGCGTCTTCCTGAGGTCCCACGTCCACCCCCCTCCTCCCTCCTCTTTCTCCACACCCCCTTCTTCCCTTCCTCCCACACACATCTGCGCGTTGGCTCGCGCAGCCCTCCAGCTCCCCAGCTCTCTCGCACCCTGGCCCTCTGCTTCTCTCCATGCTAAGAATTCGACCCCCACCCACCGGCATGCAGCGCTTACTGTTTGTCTAAATTAAACGAGACAGAAAGCGATGCCTTAACACCGTGACCCGGATCGATTCGGAATCAGCCGCTTGGAATGAAGTCTCACTCGGTGTCCTTAATGGGCCGGGGGGCCTCACCTGCCCTGCGGGGCTCCCGGAGAAGAACCCCATGGGTCCCACGGAGGCCCACGGCAGGGGGGAGACCCGGGGTCCCAGCATTACAGGCCTAGAGTGTGGGATGAAGGCAGAGGGAAGCAGAAGAGTATACTGGGTGGTGCCATGGGCCATTTGTGTTACAAGGGTTCCCCGGCCAACTTCACTCAAGAGATACAGGGGACAATGTTCTGTTGTTGTTTATACTTTGTTTTGATGTGCCTTAGTTTCATTTGGTTGAAGTCCACAGAACTCTTTTCCCAAAACACCCATGAGTCAGAGTCCTGTGGAATACAGGGCAAGGATCCCCCTGCTCTGGCCCGAGGCTGGGGAGGGGGCCTCCAGGTCACCTCCCGGAAATGGGAGAGTGGTTAGAGTAATAGAGTAACAACAATACTTAGAGCAACAACCACTGCCCAGTTCACCTGGTGCCCGGTGCTGCTCTAGGCCTTGTTCTGTATCCCCCAGGGCTGGGGGGGGGGGGTCCAGCACCAGATGTAGGCCACATCTGATCCTTCTCCATGCCACTGGCATCTGGTAGGTAGTAGGTACTTAAGAAAGTGGCTGTTGGCTAACAGGAAGAAAGGAGAAGAAGAATAGTCATTCATGATGGATGGGTGGAAGGTGGATGGATGGGTGACTGAATGAATGGATGTTGGATGGATGAATGGATGGATGGATGACAGGTAGGTAGGTGGATGAATGGATGCGGGATGGATTGGTAGATGGATGAATGAGCGGATGATGGGTGGATGAGTAGATGGGTGGCTAAATGAATGGATGGTGGATGGATTAGTAGATAGACCGGTAGGTAGATAGATAGATGATACAAGGTAGGCAGATGAATGAATGGTGGATGGATTGGTAGATAGATGAATGGATGGACGATGGGTGGATGGGTAGCTGAATGAAAGGATGGTGGATGGATTGGTAGCTGGATGGGTAGGTAGATGGATGGATGGTAGAAGATAGGTGGATGAATGAATGGTGAACGAATTAGTAGACAGATGAATGAGTGAATGCTGGGTAGATAGATAGGTGGCTGAATGAAAGGATGGTAGATGCATTAGTGGATGGATGG